GAGATAAAATGTATTAAATGATATAGTAAACTAGCATGTTTTGTTTGCAGGCAAGGGTCTTTCTTGGTCTGGGTTCTTGCCCATAGGCTTTCTAAAAAAGAAACATGTTACTCATTGACGTGCAAAACCAAATTGACTTTCTTTAATTTTTGTTTCTTTTTCTACATTTTCAGCTCTCAATGGGTCAAGGTTTGTGTCTAACAATGCCGTACATCCCCCAGTGAGCTGTCCCAAAAGTGATTCCAGCCCCTTCCTTCTAATTTCCCTCCACCTATAAAGAAAAGAGCTCAGTTAAAGAACATCATTAGTGCCAGCCCATTTTTGTTTCCTAACTCTCTGAAGAGGGAGGAAGTGTTATCTGTGACGGACAAACTTAACCCAATTAAGATCTGGTGGGGTGTAGGGGCTTGGCTCGGGACACAGCTGGGGCTGCCAGCTCACCAAGCAGGCAAAGAGCCAGAGTCAGACAAGCAGCCAGGCAAGAGGCCAGACACCCACTAAGCAGCTAGTCAAGGAACAACAAACTACCTTTACTGTCAATTACCTGCAATAGTCAGCCATGTATTCTGTCTGATAATCCACATATTTCTTCATTCAATCTTTTGGTACATGCTTGTGTAGTAATAATTGTTTGTTGGGCCCATGATTAACAGCTAGTTATCATTAAAGTAGCACAATCCATGAAATATATACATAATTGGAAAGGGACTGGATCTGTACACAGGAAGATGGCACAATGTGCAATCTCAGTCTGGGTGTAGTAATAATATAATAGAAAATCCAAGCAATTTCAATAGCCCCACCCTGTTTCTAATCAGTCTTTAAAGAAACAACCACTAAACTTAACCAGAGTGTCTTTATATGGCCAAGTGAATTTCTCATGCAGAAGTTCGGGTTGTTTATTTTTTGCCATAATAACTATTGTCATATGATTTACAATTGTGATCTGAGACATCATCAGCACCCCTGCACATTGCCTACACGTGCACATGACGCACAGAAAACCTTTCCCCTGGCACCACACCTCACTAGGCGCGCACACGCCCGATGATCAAGTACACAAGAGCCAGATACACACTCCACGGCCAAACATGTTGATAATTAGAGCCTTGTTATGGGAAGGTGTTATCACAACAATTAACACCCTAATGTGTGTAAGCTTGCCTCTGCGTGTGCACGTGAGGCCAGGGAGCAGCGTGGAAGAGCGCGCACATTCCATTAATTTGAGCGCAGTCTCGCCGCACACACAGATGCGCACGCACTCACCCAGCGAGGGTTCTGTTTAACAATGAAACAGTTTCCCATTTGATGAAGTTCCTGTGAATTCTGACACAACGGCAGCAGGAATAGTCGGAGTGATAGGTTCTGATTGATATCCAGTAGGGATTTGTGGACGGTGGAGGGGAAGGTGGAAAACAACAGGGAACACAAGGATATGCAAGACAAAAGTGGACATGGGCAGCGCATGAGGTGGTGGGCTTAGCTGACTGTTAATTGAGCATCGTTTTTATACTTGGTGAGTTATTGGTGAGAAAAAGCACAAAGAAGACAAAAAGGAGATTCGATGGGTGCAGGGGCGTTATGCCTGGAAGGTGCAATGTAGAGGTGGATAATGAGAAGAAGCTTATGTTGTAAAGAGGCCACACAAGCAGACTGTAGCCCGATGTTGTGAAATATTTGAATATTTTAGAGTGTTAAACCATAAAACTAAATGTTTTTTGTGAAATATTTGTTCAAGTTTATAAACAATGCTTAACTGTATCCCCAGGTAGACTAAATAGGCTCCGCTATAACTTTTAGCCTACTGATAACAATTTTAATGCTGATTTATTCCTACTTACAAAAACATTGGACATGATGGCGAAGTTGTTTATGTTATAATTTGGGTGTTTTGGTTCTCAAAACGATTATCCAATCAGAAAGCAGAATGAGCCTCACATGAGTCTCCCCTTTGGGTTGCCAGTTTCAATGGTGAAATAGTTGGTTAAACCCTAAAATGACTCTGATCTTCACCTAATCCCCAACACTTGCAGCCAGTCATGAATGAGGACCTGTCCTGCTGCAGTACATGCTGCCTACTGTATACAGGCTACTGAGGAAGCAAAAAAAAAAACAAAAACAAAAAAACAACTTGTAGGCACTGTTGATCCAAGTTCAGTTGAGATTGCTGTACGTTTTTTTTTAAACTGTAAGAGCACAAGCTACATACAATTCTTTAACATATTTTTCATATTTCAATTTTACACCTATTATGGGAATTGAATTCCGACCCTGCCAGTAATGCCAGTTGCTCAGAGAACAATATTGTAGAATATAGACTACAATTTGCACCCATGCCACAGTTTGACAAGCACTGAATGAAGCAACGAAGCTCATATTACATATTGTAAAGCAGCATTTGAAGGCATCACTCTGTGTGGAGAAAAAGAGTTTTCGGCTTGAAGTTTATCACATACGGCGTCCAATCAGTGGTTTTAAGGCTGGTGTAATGAGGTGAAGACGTTTGTCCATTACTCCCTGAGCTGATGGGCTCCTCACAGTAGTCAGTCCACAGCTGGAAAGGAACAAACAAGGAACAGCACAAACTCAACTGGAGCTGTGTGTCTTACTCATGCACTACTCAGCCAAATGGGGACAAGATAATGTAAGATGATAGATGTTAATATACCATTTAGCTCTATCTTAGTGCAGCGTTTGACACAATTAACCATGTTTATCGTTAGTAGACAGTTGTGAAAACTAACTCAGTATAAGTACACCACTTCAATAGCTCATAGTACACCCAAGTCTATTTGTAGTATATTCTTAAATGACAAACCGTCCTCAGCTGTGGTGTTCCTCAAGGTTCAGTGTCAGGTTCACTTTTAATTTCTATTTGTGCAATTCTCCTTAGCCAGATTTTTTGATTATTTTCCCCAATGGCTAATGCTCATAAATATTACTAATTGCAATGTTAGTGGTGTAAAAACTGGCTTTTGAAGAGCCAAGTGCTTTTTAATGAATCTGCGTTACTTCACCAATTTACAATTACTGTACTCACAATCATTGACACCATGAGTGACTAGTTTTATTAATTTGAACATTCTGAAACAGTCAGACAAAAAGGGCTTTACATTTAGATTTAGATAATGGTTACCTTTAGCATCCTCTAGAAACTTTGTGTTTTCTTCTAATAAGGCAACTTTGTTCCTGGGTGTGGTCAGTTTGACGGATCTGGCAGATTTATCAGACTGACCATTGCCTATGCGTGGTGGTGGAGAAGTGAGTTCCATGTGTGAGACAAGGTCAATGCCCCCTCGTCTCTGTTAATAGTCCATGTGCCCTGCTTCCTGATTTTAATAGCCTCTTGTATCCATCTTCTGTATTTGTGCTCCTCTGCTCCTACTATTACTACTATTATTTTACCTTTATCCCAGTCCATGGCATGGTTTTCCCTTTTGCAGTGGTCAGATATTGCGAACTTTAGGTTCACGTTGCCTTTTCTTTCTCAGATCTTGTAACTCGTGTTGTAGTTTCTTTTTGTGTTGAAAGTTCTTCCTGACTTCCCAATGTTGCATGTTTTACATGGAATCTTGTAGATGATATTGTTGTTTTCTGTTTGGATTCTGTCTCACGGACCATCAGCAGAGACGAGGGGGTATTTACCTTGGCTCACACATGGGACTCACTTTTCCAGAGACAACCATGTGAAGGTAGGTATGGTCAATCTGACAGATCTGCCAGATCCATCAAAATGACCACGCCAAGGAAGAACAGCTGATAAGAGGCACGTCACGGCAGTCAGCTAACATCTCTACTGAAGGCAGAAGTGCTACTGCTAAAACATGTCAGATAAAAAAGCTATTTAGATTTTTACAAAGTTGTTTCATTAGAAGAAAACACAATGTTTCTATATAACAAGAAGACAAAATGAATTTTATAAACATAATTCAGCATCCTGTTTGGGTTGTGACTTGGCACTTAGCTGAGGGTCGGCATATGACTTCAGGAAATGACCATTCACTATTCACATTACAACATTAAATGTGATTCGGCAAGTAGTTTTGACACCTGAAAGCTTTACTTTTGTGGTGGTTGTACTTGACTCCCAGCCCAAAAGATTTGAATCCCTGACTTGACCAGTGACCACTCTACAGGTTCCTGTGAAATAAAATTTTCAAGAACCCCCTTTGACACTGGTGTAAGGTTATTTAAATAGGTTACATCAGTTTTTATCCCATAAAATGTCCTAAAGTGACACTGAAGTGACAATGATGAATACGCATCACAGGTTACAGGTATTTATTTTCCCACACCAGCATTTACAAGATTGTAGTTTTGCAAGTTAGCACAGGTGCCAAAAAATGCATTCCTCAGCAAATTCATAGAAATCAAATCACTCTGACAATCCAGGACTTTAGACTTCAAAAACCGGTTATGACATATATGTCACATTATTCATCATCATACTGATTTTGTTGAGGCTATGTTACTTTATATTTTACTCACCTCTCACTGCATCTTACTCTAGGGCATTTTACACCCAATAGAATTGTGACATATTTGCAAAATTACAGATTTAACAATGGGGAGTAGAATTCTAAAATTCTAACATCAAGCTCCGAAACTGGAAATGGTCGACTGGCTTCTGTAGCTGCTCAATAGTACCACCATGTGGCTACAAGCAGTAAAACAGCCCCATAATGAAGAATGTAGACCAACTGCCAAATCTTTAGAAGCAGAATCAAGTTTCTTGTGTCCATGTCAAATGTAAAGTTCAAATACCAACCCGTTCCTTATCTGAAACATGTTTATATTCCAGGCACAGATCTGAACCAAACTAGAACACAGATAACATTTAATAAGAAGTACAATTAATGAATATTTAAGAATACAACTACTTCAGTGTTTCATTCTGCTGTATATGTATTGTTGCCAATAGTTGTTAATAGTGATCTTTTCTTAAGCAATGCAATAGCAAATCTGAAGAGTGGTGTGAGAGACCAGGAAAACAACTACAGTTAAAAACAAAATGAAATAAATTTATTTAAAAGTATGAAAAAAGAAAACTAAAAACAACAGACAACATTCTCCCAGAGAATCCACATAGAATATCTTAATCTACTTCAAATAAAAAAAAATTCTAAACTATAATGTTTAATTTTGTTTGTTTTTTTAATCATAGAGGGGGGCCCCCCTTGGTCGCAGTGGAAGTGGTCCACCTGTATAAAGAAAAAAGACAAAGGTTACTTGATTCACAATTTGCCAAATGGGTTGTGTAAAATCACCTGGCCGAGGGAGAAGAGCTGGTCGAGGTCCTCCCTTGGGTCCTGGAGGCCCTAATCTGCGTGGAGGTCCTCGAGAGTATCTGGGTGTGTCCAGCAGAGGGCCGCGGGGTCCAGACATGTGTGCGGGTAGGGATCCAAATGATGACTTGGACATCAGTGGAGGAGGGTTGCCTTTAAGAAGTGAACATTTTAAAAAATGAGTCTCGCCAATGTTGTGTTATAATGCCCTTCAAAGCTAATTTTCTCAGTACAAGCAGTAACTGCAGTGGCTCTCAACACAAGTACTGTGACCCAAAAGTTGTAGTTATTGAAACGGCAAAAATAATGCTTAGACAGAAAGGACAATACAATATAGGTAACTGTACATAATGTACACAAGTGGCTGGGCAATGTGCAAATTGGATTTCTCCTAGATTGTTAAAAGCTGCATGATCTTGTAGAGGCAGAAGCATATTCCCACTTTGCCTTCTCCTTTCTTAGACACATGTAAATGAGGGACCATTATAGTCACTGGACAGAACCGCAGACTAGCCAATGGGTCTTGTCCGATGCGAGTAGCACAGATGAGGGGGAAGTGATCCTTTGTCAGAGGTGCAATCTGACCATGCTTTTTTGCCCAGAACACAAATGCAAATGTACTTTGAAATGAGGTCTTCATTCATAAGTAATTCAACTAATGCTTCTGACAACTGTCAAGTTACAAAGAAGCACAATTTCTGTTGCTTCATGTTCTAATATGCATGGTAGTAACTGCAAAAACTAAAATGTTAATAATAGGTCCTGATGCCAGACTAGTTGAGAACCACTACGGTATAGGATTTCATGGTAACCTGGTAAAGTGCGAGAAGAGTGGCCCAGCTGAGGCTGCGAGGGCATTGGTGTGGGTAGCAAAGGAGGTGGTTTACCCAATCCAGGAGGTAGTAAACTGTCTACCTCGCTCTCAGTTTTACCTAAAGTCAGAAAAAAATATTAAATAAAAAAGAAAGAGGAATTTTAATGGCTTGTAATATATGTCTCACCAGCTTGCTCCTGCCTGGACAGAACATACTCTGAGAGGGTGTCTAGTTCTTCCAAGTAGAGATGGACCCCTTCTGCTAACAACATGAGGAGGCGGCGCACATCAGAAGGAACATAGTGGCGATTGCGCTTTTCTCTGTCCAAATAATCATCCAGCATTTGGGAGGTCTCTGCTGCAATGTCAGCAGGGTCCTTTGTGGGGCGCACTTCAAGGCCTTGACTGTATTCTGCTACCACAAAGTCCAAAGCCTGATCTTTGGGCATGTTGCGGTGGACTACAATAGGATATGGTAAGGTTATTTATTCGTGATGATTGGAATAAACATGCCAACAAGTTGCACAATACAATGGGTTTTGTCTTCGCGATTAAATAAAAAAATACATTTTGGCAATGTTGATAATCCAGAGATACTATAAAATGGCAAGATATTTTGTAGCCTGTGTGGTGTTTTTAGGGAAAGTAGAAAATAAATGTGCAGGAGTCATTATCTATTTTGCCTTGAAGGCATGATTGTCCTTAGGCAAAGTGTGACTGACAGTTAAAATCCATAGTTGGGGGGCATTAGGTGTAAAGCCCAGACCCTCTCATGATTGCCTAAATCCCAGAATATTCATTAATTTCCTACTTTGTCTATAACATACATAGAGACCTTTTTGCATAAAAAGTTCTGTTATTGCAATACATTTTAAAAGCAATAATAAATGTACTGAAATTAGTTTATTATTTGTTGTTTAATGTACAGTTTTTCCAATTCAGTTGAGTTGGACTCAGAACTCTGAGTAATAGATAATCATATTTGTCAAGACTTGCCACGTGGTAGTTTTTTTTTTTCTTTGTTTGTTTTTTCATTTTCATTAACGCTCAAAAGGGTGATTCGATCTTTATTTTACTTTTTTGGAGAAGGTGGGATACGAATTGGAAATCCACTGGTTCTCAGATGCTGCATCAAATAATTTTGTATTCATTTTGATAAATGTTGAAAAATAATTTCAACTAAATTATATCAAAAGAAAGCTATTAATCATTAAATACAGTCTAATCTGAAAATGTCAATTTTTTTTTACCATATGTGATTTAAAAATTTAAATTTTTAAATTTGTTTTTAATGTTTTCTCATCACTAGTTTTAGTTTGTATGAATATTTTAAATGTGTGTTATGTGAAATTGTTGAAAATCTAAAATGTCTATTTTATTTTATTTTATCACATAATTGCATTCTGAAATAATTAACAATGTGTTAAAAAGTTTAATGTGTTATGTATTAAATGTCAAAGATTGGTGTTGAAATAAGTTTATATTTTAGTAGGCTTCTGTAAATTACCACGACCACACCCCCAGCAATTAAAGAAGGTACTGGTTTCCCATTTTAGGAGATTAAGTGGGAGTAATTTAGTTACTAATACTTAAGTAAAATGTATTTTACTTACAGTAATTATTAGTGGCATTACTGTGAAAATAATTGTAATTAAATTAGTTACTATTTTCACATTTAGTTACCCACTGACAGGACTTCTGTCAGATTACCACCTAAAAGGCAGAGATTAGATGCTTTAGCAGTGTTGTGCAGATGTGACCCATATCTATTGGTGATGCGATGCCATTTAAGACAGTTTTAATAGCTTATTTATTGTTTATCTCTAGTTAAATGTCTTTAATAAAACAAACACACATATTTGATTCATGTGTACAATAGTACAAATAAAGTTGGGTAATCCCAAAGTAATGTAACTGTGTTACTTTATGGAGACTAAGTAATTAAGTAGTGTAATCTATTCCATTTTAACTAGTAATTGGTAACCAATTACTTTTTCAAAGTAATTTCCCCAACACGGATTATCCCAGAATATTTTGGTCAATTAAAATGTATGTTTTATCAAAAAGTTACTAATTATAGATTCTTGGTGGAGACACTTACTTTTGAGAGATTGTGCAAATATGATAACTGTGCAGGAACACAGTGCTATGTTTGTCTGCTCCACCAGAATACATAAGGGAGAGCCATCAGCTCGGATGTCCTGTAAGGCACGAGTCAGACCAGACTCCGCATGAAGGTAGAGCATTTCCACGCACAGGCCACGCTCCTGCAAGCTTTGACCTAGTGATATGGAGTATTCCCTTTGAGGAAGAGAAACATTTTGTTAACATATTTTTCAATTGAACAGCTGAAATACAGTGTATTGTGCTTGTGTTATGCAATGAAAGTGTTGGTTTGATGTGTACTCTCTTACGTTCCGTATTACATATGCCTTATAGCCATTATTTGTCTGCATTAATGAGGCTGTGTACATGTGCTGTGCACAACCACTTGAATATCACTATACTGTAGTTCTGCCAATAAACAGCTGAAGTATTCCGTTTACAAAAATAAATGGAAAATGTCAATGTGAGTCACACCAAGGCCATTGTCCAGAGTGTTGAACTGGTCAGTGATGTAGCTGTGGGGGTTAAGTTTTAGCTGCTTCACTGTTAATACAACTGAAAATGTATGTGATAGTAGACTAGGGGCAAGACAATGAATCACAAAACACTAAATTATTTACAGGTTCACGCTATTAGTCACTGTTCCCTTTAAAGAGGGTTTTATTTTTTTTGGGGTGGTGGAGCAAGAGCTGAGAGCATAAGGAGCATTAGCTCCTTCACAGCAAGACAGTATTGATGCAGGATTATCAGATGCATGTTTCACTGGAGGGCTGGATATAAAATAAAAAATGTATGTAACATGAATATAACATGTTCCTGTAATTCTTTTAGTAAAGCAAGTATTTGAATTTGGGGTTTCTGCTTTAGGGAAGGGACATGAAGCAAATTTAATTCAAATTCTACAATGGACAAATGCATGTCCAGTTCATACAAAATTGTATGAGCTGTAATTTAAAAAAATATGTACACATATTTGAATGTACATGTATGCATATTAATTATGTACATGTATTACACGTACACTGATCCAAATTTTGATTAAATGAGGAAATTCTTAACATTTTAAATATTATAATGCCAATATTTCTGGTGCATTTTTGACATAGTTTCTGTAATGTCAGCATACTTACCTACCCAAACTAAGGGCCCAAACCCTGGATTTCCTGTACCATGAAGGTGGCTCAACATGGTTACATAAATATAGTAAAATATGCAGCAAAGGCTGAACTAAGTTTTATTGGACTACTGCACTATACCTACCGTACACTCTGAATCCAAAATGTATTTATTATTAAGGATGCAACAATATTAAATTATCTAAGTGTTCAATACAACATTGGCAGTACAATATGCACATGACACTACTCCAGTGCATTAATTGTGCCATATACTTGTAGGATGCGCCAGCCAGATGTGTAGTGCCATAAATGCTTTACGACTCTATATGAATAGAAGAGAATTTAATAAAATGATTTATTGATATTTACTGTAAAAGCAATAAGAGTTTTGTTCTGATGAAGTTTAAAACATACTAAAAGATTGCATTAATATTGTGACCCATGTATTAAATATGTATGGTGAGAAAAACATTTATTACTTTTAGATTTTGTCAATGATTTTATTTATTTATTCCTTTATTATGGATAAGCCATTAAGATCATCTATCTCTCCATCTCCTTTTCTATCTAACCAAATTGTTGACTTTTAAGATGTGTTTGCTTACATCGCAAATTGCAGTATTCAGTTTTAGGATCCAATAGCAATGGTGTCAAAATATGCGGCTCTGATTGGTGGCAAAATGTTGAAATCGTGTCAGTAATATTTGAAAATATAAAGCAATGTTTTATTCACTGTTTTATCAATAGTCCTTTATTGTAATTGTCAGTCTAGTACTGTTTTACTTTTGACAGCACATCAGGGCGGTAAGAGCACTTCTGTGAAGTATTAAGAAGCTTGACTGGCATTCCTGAGGTCAGGTTTACTCTAAAAAGGACTTATTAAATGGTGCAATAAAAAGATGTTAAAACTGTATATATTTTTTAAACTATTGTGCGTTGTGTGAGACAGACCTTTCCCACAACTCATTAAACCAGTTTGTCTTTCTAAGAACAAACATCAGAACAAAAAAATAAATGGTGCACATTTACAGCGAACAATGTGAATTACAGAACATAAAAGGTCATCGCTATAAACATAATCATTGAACACATTGTTTGCTTGTTTTTTTTGCAGTGTTTGACAACATAAATCCAATATGATGTGAAATTTCTGATATTAGTCATTTTATTTGATTAAATATTATTGTGTAATTACTTTGGGAGTGTAAAATGCCATTGGAATCCATTAGCTATGAATGTTTGTTTGTTTGTTTTCTTTAAAAGAGAGGTGGACTGGGCATGGGCCAGTTCCAAAGTGTTCAAAAGGAAAGAACATTAAGTACAATCAATAAAAAAATAACACTCTGGATTGTCTTTAAATCACTCACGGGTTTTCGTTGGTGACAGAAAGGACCACACAATCAGCTGGTTTCCTCTCTTCTTGCAAGTGTCTGTAGAATTTCTGATACAATGCTTTGCGCCTATCTGATGGGGCGCCCTCCACTTTACCAGAAGGCATGGCAATTTTTGCTGTTGGATGGCCCAGAAAGGAATAACATTAGAGACAGAAAAATAACATTAAAGATTAAAAAAAAAAAAAAAAAAAAAAAAAGTAAAAGTAAAATACTTGCCTTGTTCTTGACTTGAATACCCTTCGTAATTTACAGTTGGGCACGTTTGCGATTTCTCAAGCTCTTCATATCTGGAAATGACAAAAGGAAAAGTAAGAAATACCCCAATTAGTAGTAGCATTCTCAAGGGAAAAAAGGCAACTCCTAGCTCACCTGTCTAAACCGTGTTTGTGATCATCGCCTCGATCGTCTTTGCTGTGGTACGGCGCTGGTCTTCTGAGGGCTCGACTTGCGTGGAAACTATAACATAATTTAAAGTCAACGCGTTTAAAATCATTCTGCACAAGAGTGGGTTTAACTGCATGCGTTATTATAAAACATATATATATATAATATACTCTTTATAGTCAGTGGGTTCACAATTTGGCTTCGCTAATGCTATTTGTGCAAATGGGTAATATTGCAATTACCTGCCCGGTGATCGTCGAGGAAGTGGATGCGACCAGGTTTTAGACATTTTCGTAAAGTAAGCAATTTTCAGGTTTTCAACAGCAGTTTTTTTTTTATTTGTTCATAAATTGAATGATTCTTGCAGAACGGTAGCGCTCGAACATGGGGGCAAATCAGAGGAAAGCGTCTTTTTGTTCCTGGTTTCCGGCAGATCTGTTTCTTTGCTGCCCTCCACTGGTTAGATTTTGCACAAACACACATACAGTTACTTGATAGTAAATATATTCTCTTGATTTCCAGACATCCACTACCAAATCACTGGTGAAGTCCATTTAAATTGAATTAAATAAGCCACGTAAGATCAAAAAGTGCACACTGGGTAAGGTCCCAAATTTTACGCAAATCTTTTTACTTCTTTGCGCTTAACTTTATGATGTTTTTCCAGCACCCACTTGGGCAATCTAAAGTGTGGAGCCACAACAGCCACCATAGATTGACTGAAATAAATCCACGATAGTGTAGGAGATTTGTTTTATTTCTTACAGACAGCAAATTTAATAAATCACTTCAGTTGTTTCAGTTTGTCACCGCTACAGGTTTGTGCGACACCGCTGCACGTGTATTGTGTGCACATTGAAATAGCAGTGCGAACATTCAGCAAGCCCAGATGCTATAGGTTTGTGTTAAAAAGCAAACAGCGAGTGGCAGTAATACCCGAAATAATAATGACAAATAAAACCCGTTTGTGTTTTCCGTGTGCATGACATGAGCTCCAGCACGCGTTTGCAATCGTGAACGCGCCTCGGGGACGCGGGGGAGACCGTCGCCATTTTATTTTGAAAATCATTTTGAGTTGGAACCACAGCGGTCGTTCATTTCATGAAGTTGGTTCAGTGAAACAAGAAGAAATGAATATTTAACCAACTTCATCATATGCACGGTGAGACTTGCTACATGTCCGCTAGTTCATATCTGGCGTTTTACATTCCCTAACGCACCCCACTAAGGTTTAAATGCAAGGTAGCCATTAGCCCGCAATCCGACTCGGGCTAATTGCTGAAAAGCAGCTGTCATTCTGGCCGCATGAAGAAACAATAACCGTGATATTGAGATTTCTATTGGTGCATGGGCTGGTTAATGTGCCCTATAGTTGTGATTCCAGTGTGTACTTGCTGGAGCGCAGTGGATAAGCTCTGTTTGGACGTAAACGGCTCCATAAACTAGTCGGTGTTCATGGAAAAGAGCTAATGCTAACGAGCTTTATGCTAACCAGATCGCGCTGGTAGCTTTAGCAAACCTCGGTGTGGTTAGCTGGGCCGCCACAGGATCGGATTTAGCATGCGGAATCAATAGACGTGTCTTAATTATATATTTTAGTTATATATCATATCTAGAACTACATCACCGTTTGTTTTTACATATAACAGCGGTTTGAACGCATATCGTGTACCTAAGCTAAATTAGCTTTAGCCCTTGCAACAATTTAGCTTTTTCATGATCGATTCTAGCTAACGTTTAATGCAATAGGAAGAATCCCCGAAGCATCGTGTATATTTATTACGATATTAAACTAGAAATTTCAGTAAAACGCATTGTGTTGACTCATGGTGTCAATCACTAGTGTCCAGTTGGAGCAATTAATGCCTGCGATGCATTAAACGTTTTTTAATGTGTCAATAATTAATATAGTTACTTAATTTATCATACATAATTAAACATATCTTTTCCTTTTATGTATGTAAAGATTACTGTTATGTCTACAACCATTGGCATCTTATTTTTAGTAGTGTTTTTGTTAAAAACCTGGCAATAAAATTTGTTTTAAAAATGTGATATGTTCTAAATGCGGCCCTCTCAAGTTATGATTAAAGCTGTGGTAATAATTGCTATTTTAAAGCTCACTTTTAGACTAGTAGTAGGTATACATCATAATAATGTATGTTCTGCTTATTCCATCTAGATGCTGAACCTGGTTTTAAACTGAAGGACTTGAAGAACTGGCCAACTGATAGAAGAGCCCATTTGGAAGCTAAACATTTTTCAAACCTTTTGGGGGGGGGGAGCAGAAGTAACCTATCACTGAAGTGACCAAAGGGGAATAATGGTGATTTTGCGCCGTGCTCGGCCGCCTGCTTCCGCCCCAACCAGCAATGAATCTTGACTCGCTCTCGCTGGCTTTGTCTCAAATCAGCTACCTGGTGGACAATTTAACAAAGAAAAATTACAAAGCCAGCCAGCAGGAAATACAGCATGTGAGTAGAAGTCTAAACATATCTTGAGTTAACCTTAATGTTGACATTTTATATCCTGTTCTTTACACTCCTGCATTACCAATTTATTTTTTAGATTGTAAATCGTCACGGCCCTGAGGCAGACAGGCATCTCTTACGCTGTCTCTTCTCCCATGTGGATTTCAGTGGCGATGGTAAAAGCAGTGGCAAGGATTTTCACCAGGTAATAACTACCGTTTTAACACAGTGGGTATATTACTGAATGGTGTAGTTTAATGCAAATGAATACCTACACAGAACATTTATATTACACCTGGCCTTGATCGTGACCTGCCTCTGTTTTCTCTACTTTGTCTCTTTCTTTGATTTTTAACTTGCCCAAGACACAGTTTCTGATCCAGGAGTGTGTGTCGCTGATATCAAAGCCAAACTTTATCTCAACTTTGTGTTACGCCATTGACAATCCCCTACACTACCAGAAGGTCAGTAGTAAATTTTTCACTCTTGTTTGGTTTGTTGAAATGGCCTTCCTATTTAGTACTTTTCCTAAGAATTAATGTAGTTAAAACATTTTTGTTATATTATGAAATATGTTTATATAAAAATATATATAAATATTGCTATTTTTTGTTTTTGAAAAATTTACAATTAAATTAAAATTGTTTTTATTTTATTTTTTTTTAGAGTTTGAAGCCATCAGCCCATTTATTTACTCAACTGAGTAAAGTTCTCAAGCTCAGCAAGGTTCAAGAGGTATAATTGTAATAAAACTTTAAAACAATGTATGAATTACATGAACTACATATTTATTTTTTCCCCTTAGGTTATTTTTGGGCTTGCTTTGCTTAACTCCAGCAACGTAGATCTTCGTGGTTTTGGTAGGTTTTCTTGACTTTTAATGTTCAGATCTTATTTGAAACAGTTGGATAGTTGTATATCTTACATGCATAATATCGCAAGATAGTTTTTTTTTTTTTTTTTCCTCACCAAAAACATGCCAGAAGAGGTTTTAGATGTCATCCATGCATGTTTAAGTATTTTAGCGATTTCTCCCGGACCCTACTGAAACACTTGCGGTTAGCTGCATTCTGCAATGTTCTGTCCACAATCCTACGTCAACTATGCTCCCACCTGACAGTTGTCCATAAATATATGAAAACATGGTGAAACGTGACTTGACAAACTCGATCCAACGTGCAATCATTTCATTAGCGAGATGCACGTTGATTGTGTTACGATTAATACAGGTAGCAAAGTGAAGAAAAACTCGGTCAAAAACGAAAGTGAAACTTATAAAACATGTTAATACATTGTTTTAGGTGAATATAGTGTTTTTAAAATAGAAGGCAACATGGTGATCTAAATATGTTATGTGTTCAGGTCTTATATGTGTCCATAGATAGAAGTGTATGATGTTTATTGAGCATATATTTAGCATATATTTTTTGCATATACCTTTTATTATATTATATATCTTGGTGTCAATATTTTAAAATCCATGACAGGGCCCACAAATTTATGTGAAGTTGTAGTTAAATTTACAAATGTGCTTTCCCCTTTATAAAAAAAAAATCATAGCATCCAATATATTGAGCAAAATGTTGACCCAATATACCAGAAAACTATATTAAATCATCATGGATAAACATTAAAAACGGTAGTCATTTCTTCTAATGACAACCAAGGCTTTCTGTTTTGTTGGAAAATTGAAAAAGGGATCACCTTTTGAATAGTTTTTTCCTCTCTTTTCTTAGCTGCACAGTTCATCAAGCAGAAACTTCCCGACCTCCTGCGATCGTACGTTGACGCTGACCTAGGAGGAAACCAGGAAGGTGGCTTCCAAGATATTGCTATAGAGGTCCTGCACCTACTGCTCTCCCATCTGCTGTTCGGCCAGAAGGGAGCCAGTGGAGTAGGGCAAGAGCAAATTGACGCCTTCCTCAAAACTCTTTGCCGAGGTATAACTGCAGGTTGCCATTATTCTAGAAGGTGAATAAAATGAGCTGTCTTTGCCATTCATTCACTTTATATTGATTGTTGTTTTAGATTTCCCCCAGGAGCGCTGCCCTGTGGTGCTCGCACCACTGTTGTACCCTGAAAAACGGGACATTCTCATGGACAGAATCTTGCCAGACTCGGGGGAGTTAGCCAAGACCATGATGGAAAATTCGCTTGCAGAATTTATGCAAGAAGTGGGCTATGGCTTCTGTGCCAGGTGTGTTTAGCTTTTAACATTAGCAGGACTCTTATGCAATCACTTGTTTTATTTTTCCTTTTGTCTCTACCCATGTTTGACAAGCAGCATCTGCCCTGTTTTGTCTTCCAGTGTGGATGAATGCAGAAACATAATCCTCCAGTATCCGGGCAGAGAGGTGACAGCAAGCCAGGTGGCGAGAGTTTTAGGGATGATGGCCCGCACCCATTCTGGACTTGCTGATGGAATTCCCTTACAGGTAAGCTACTTGCTTGGTAACAAATTTCAGTACTTTACTGTACATTTTTAGGTTTCCTAATGGTTAAACAAATTATAAAATGCACTTAAATGTACATCTTTTTTGCAGTCAATCTCTGCCCCAGGAGGCGGTATCTGGAGTGATGGGAAGGACAAGAATGATGGCTCTCAGGCACATACGTGGAATGTGGAGGTTCTCATTGACGTTGTCAAAGAAGTGGTATGTGCATTGTATTTTGACACATAAAAAAATTGCCAATAATATAGGTTATACTCTAATGTAATTTTCATTCAAAACACATTGTGACATTCCTGAATGAGTGGCAATGGCAAAACTGATGGGCAAAAGCAAATGAGTCATGAGATGTTTTTGTTTCTCATTTTTGTCAGTGGAGCTCCTATATGCAAGTCCAACTGACTCCTGCGTGTGATGCCTGAAATTCTCAGTGTTAACTGTTTGGACAGAGCTAGGTTGTTGGCTAACAGCAGCGGCAAGATTAGGGACACTCAG